TTCAAGGCAAAAACGTAATGAATTTAAAACAAAGTAACCAGTAATAACAAAACAAAATGTCCTTAACAACTGGAAGAATTTAGAAAACGCTATTATATTCATATAATGTAAAGTATATTACATTGTTTTGTAAGCAATTGCTATTTAATGGACATTCATTAATTACGCTGTAGTTACAGGTTTGTTTCGCTTTAGCAGGTAGTTGTTTATTTTTAACATTTCTCTCATATTCTTGTTGCAATTGTATTTGATATTTACTGTGCTTCTACTGAATACCCAACAGAGAGTGCTTGATATATATATATATATATATATATATATATATATATATATATATATATATATATATGTATAGAGAGAAAGAATACATAGATAGATAGATAGATAGATAGATAGATAGATATGCATAGGAGCGTAAATCAAAAATTATACGCACTTTCACCTTAACATATCTTTATGTTTGACACACTGCATTCTGATCATGCGCGCTTATAGTTGGTAATATTATAATCACGTGATTGATGTTTGAGCTTGATTGGACTAGTTTTCTTGCTACTGTTACAGTGTAAACATAGCCGCTCCACCATTAGTGTGAACCAAGGTGCAACAATTAAAGATGAAGAGTATTCGATTTTAATCGCAACTTGTGCAACGTTAGAAAAGGAAGGAGGCTAGATTTGGAATACTGATACTTCGGGGTTCATGGTGACGTGCCTTGTGTGTTTCCACTATGGAATCTACTGGAATTAAAGAAGAATAAGCATTATTTTTGTCGTGCCACGATTGAGAAATATTTATAATCCTGAGATTTTGGTAGGCTTTGTGTGCTTCTACTATTAAATGCGTTGTAATTAAAGAAGGACACATATTACTTTTTAACTGACTCTCATACCACGATGGGTAAGGAAGGAGAATATGTTAAGGGCTAGATTTGGAATGCTGAGTCTCTGCACTTCATTTTGATATATTTTGTGTTCTTCTAGTATTAAATCTCTTTTTATTAAAGAACTGGCATTATATATTTGACTAAAGCTTTTGAGAACGAAAGAAACTATGTTGAGAATAAAATTTTGAATGCTGAGACATTTGTCTTTATTTTGAAAATGCGTTGCGTACTTCGAGTATGATTTTTTTTTCATAAATAATACAAATTTGTACTTACATATTGATTTGTACTTACATATTGATCGCACTTCACGTCATGATGGAAAAAGAAGTAGACTCTTTTGAGGATCAGAAATCTTGGAACGTTTGCGTTTATTTTGATATATTCCTTAGCTTTTGCTAATAAATCTGTTGGAAGTACAGAAGGAACAAAAGTGTTGATTTAATGATGGACTTGGAAAGGAGTTTTATGTTGAGGAATAGTTGGGGCTATAGTGATCATTTTACACTCAAATTTTCTACTGTCAGTTGTATCGTAGAATATTACGTTTTGATGGATCGTTGTAAATCAATTGAGGATTAAGGAGGCTTGTTGCACGCTGTCTGTGCTTCTACATGTAAATTCGTTGTACTTAAAGATGAAAGGACGTTATTCTGTGACCGATCCATCCAATTGATTGGAAAGAAGACTATATTGAAATCGACAGGGTTCCCTGTAAAAAAAGCGGCAAATTCAGAAAGAAATTTATTTAGCTCTTATGATTCATGCACAGACTGAAAAATTATCGAAGATGTTTGAAATGTTTGCCTAGATGTTTGTTCAATACAAAGTTGTAAGCGTAGTAACCAGGAGGCAGTAGATTTGCGGATAGTGTCAAGAGGAATTGCATTCAAGTTTCAAGTTTAGTTCCACTTCACTGAATCAATATCGATGATGCCACGTCGACGGTTTTTGCAAGTGAGTTAGGTGTATACTCCAGATAGAGGAAACCATAAGATTCAAATCTGGACTTTTAGAGGGCCACTAAAATGGACCAATCAGATCTGGTGTATTTTCTCAAAGAATAAATTTACCGCTTTTTTACTGGCCACCCTATAGAAAGTATAAATATTAACTTTGTCGTTTTCTTTACTAAGTATGGAAATCTCTAATGAATCCGACAAAAACTAACGAACTCGCCATATGTATTTCACTGAAAATCATTGAAGGTCATCAATTTGTTTTTCTTTCTTCAAGAACCCATTTTTAAGCCTTAACCAGTTTGTGATTTAGAGTTGTCCTACTTTAATACGGGTTCCGAATAGTTACCAGTTAAAAAAAAAAAAAAAGCGGTAAATCCAGAAAGAAATTTACTAAGCTCTCAGGATTCATGCACAGACTGAACGTACATCGTAGATGCTCGAAATGTTTGCCTGAATGTTCAACACAAAGTTGTAAGCGTGGTAAACCGGAGGTATTAGCTTTGCGAATAGTGTCCAGAGGAATTTCATACAAAACTTAAGTTAAGTTCCACTTCAATGAATCAATATCGACGATGTCACTTCTAGAGGGCCAGTGAGATGGATTAATTAGGTCTGGTGTATTTTCTCGAAGAATAAATTTGTCGGTTTTTTT